GGAGCCAGCAGTGAGGGAAGGATCAGGCATTTGTGGGGGAGATGCCTGGTCCCAGGAGGCAGCTTTGCAGCCAGCCCTGGGGGTGTGTGGAGAGCATTCAGCGACCAGGCACTGCAGGGCAGAGGCCACGACGCTGGCTGGAGCATGCTAGGGGTACTGAGGACTGAGCAACAGAGGGTAAAGGGTGGGGGTGGGCTACTTCAGGGGAGATGGCATCTCAGGCAAGGACTCCAGATTTCTTTCTAGAAGGGTGGGCCAGGGCATGTGGGCCCCTGCCTGTGCCTCCCTTCCACCACCCACAGAGCCCAGCTCATGGCCTCCCTGACGTGAGCCACCCTCTAGGCAGAGGCAAGGAGATCATAGGTTCCCAGTGCCCCCTCCCAGGTGGCCCCCAGGACCAGGTGCGTCAGTCAGCCCTCTGCTTGAACTCTTAGGCTGGTGGTGAAACTGAGGCCCAAGACGGTGAAGTTGCTTGCAGCTAGTGGAGGGTGTTTTGGGGCAGACCGATGGGCAGGTGGAAGCTGTGGGCAGGGAGGCTGGCCCGTCAGTGGTCACCAGCAGGGAGGGGGCCATAGACCCCACGTGAGCATCTGCATGCCCCCCCCTTACGGTGGGGAGAGGCTTGGCTCACTGGGGCCTTGCTTCTGCCCCCAGGGGACCCCTGAGAACCCAGGCATCAACCAGCGGGCCCTGCAGCTGCTCTTCTCCGAGGTGCAGGAGAAGGCGTCCGACTGGGACTACACCATCACCGTCAGTGCGGCCGAGATCTACAACGAGGTCCTCAGGTGGGCAGCTCTGGCACGGCGTGTGGCCTCCGGGGTGGCTTCGTGGTCCTCAGGGCCGTGCAGAGCCATGTGGGATGACAACTGGAGTTGGGGCTACATGTCCAATCAGCCCAGGATCGGGTGGTCCCAGGCCCCTGTCCCCACCCCAGGGGTGGCAGGGAGAACGCCTTGCTCTCAGTCCCCCTGGGATGCCCAGACCAGACTCAGGTGCTCCTTTTCCATCCAAGTCTACACACTCTCCCTGCACCAGGTGGTGATAAATGAGTGGGGGGCGTGAGGGGGCCTGCCCACAAGAGCTCAGTGCATTGTGGGTGCAGGAGTTAGCCCTATGGTGAAGGGAGGGAGGGTGTGATGGGGCGGGGGAGGGGGGTGCAGTGCAAGCAGAGGCAGAAGTGGGGGGAGGAGGGAGTGACCATCTAGCCCTGTCCCTGCAGGGACTTGCTGGGGCAGGAGCCCCAGGAGAAACTGGAGATCCGGCTGTGCCCAGACGGCAGTGGGCAGCTGTACGTGCCGGGGCTGACCGAGTTCCGGGTGCAGAGCGTGGAGGACATCAACAAGGTGCAAGGCTGGGGGCCCTGGAGGCAGGGAAGCGCCGGGGAGACCCCACGCAGACACAGGGCGGGAGCGGGACACGTGCAGCCTCTGCCTCTCCCCCTCTGTAACGTGCATGGGGTGACACTACTCGGGGACAGGGTGATTCCAACCACCTCACTCCAGACCCCGTGCCTTTTCCGTCTCTGCTCCCTGGCAGGTGTTTGAGTTCGGCCACACCAACCGCACGACAGAGTTCACCAACCTGAACGAGCACAGCTCCCGCTCCCACGCCCTGCTCATCGTGACGGTGCGCGGGGTGGACTGCAGCACGGGCCTCCGCACCACGGGTGAGTGAGGGAGCCGGGCGGCCCCGGCCGAGGACCCCGGCCCTTGCCCCTGCTGGGGCGGCCTTGACCTGCCCGGTGCCCTCCCCGCAGGGAAGCTGAACCTGGTGGACCTGGCCGGCTCGGAGCGCGTGGGCAAGTCAGGGGCTGAGGGCAGCCGCCTGCGGGAGGCACAGCACATCAACAAGTCGCTGTCAGCCCTGGGGGATGTCATTGCCGCCCTGCGCTCCCGCCAGGGCCACGTGCCCTTCCGCAACTCCAAACTCACCTACCTGCTGCAGGACTCGCTCAGTGGGGACAGCAAGACCCTCATGGTGGTGCAGGTGAGGGCCTGGGGTGGCCGGCACCAGGAGCAGGGACCCCCTCCCCCCGGTGGCGCCCGTACACCAGGCTGTGCAGGGAAGGGACCCTTGTCCTCTGCAGCTTCACAGTGAGCATGCTGCCCCCTCCAGTGCTGTGGGGGCGGCCTGCTGGCCTGGGTGGAGAGTGAGCCCTCGCGTCCCCTAGGTGTCCCCCGTGGAGAAGAACACCAGTGAGACGCTCTACTCCCTGAAGTTTGCAGAGCGGGTGCGCTCTGTGGAGCTGGGCCCTGGGTCCCGCAGGGCAGAGCTCGGGTCCTGGTCCAGCCAGGAGCACCTGGAGGTATGGTGACCACCACGGGCCCATCTTGGGCTGGCACAGCCAGGGCAGGGGCGGGAAGGAGGCTCTGGGATGGGAGACAGCCTGGAGTGGCGGGAAAGGGGAAGATGCCAGAAGGGGGTGGACCTAGAACTTGAACCCAGGAGCCTCTGTAGTCTAACTAGTTCACCTTGGCTTCTGCTGCTTGGGCAGGTCCTCAGGCAGTTGGGGGCGGGTGGGCTGCAGGCTGGGACACAGGTGCTCAGGTAGGACTCATTTTCTTCGTTTCATGTATTATGTCATGTAATTCTTACGACGACTGAGCATGGTGGGGGGTGGGCCAGGACCACGGCCCCCGCCCACCTGCTCACCCCCGCCCACAGTGGGAGCCGGCTTGCCAGACCCCGCAGCCCTCGGCTCGAGCACACTCGGCTCCCAGCTCTGGGCCCAGCAGCCGCCCAGGCTCCATCCGGAGGAAGCTGCAGCCCTTGGGTAAGCCTGCCCCCAGGCGGGTAGCCACTGGACTGCTCTGACCTGAATGGACTTTTTGTTTTCTTTTTTTTTAAGTTTATAAAACTGATCCAGAACCTGTCAGGGCAGACAGTGCTAGATCCATTTTACAGATAGTGTAAGGAAGAACCCAGCCCTTTGGGCTCCTAGCGGGGCTACTGACTCGAGGCCCGGGACGCAGTTCTCTGAGGCTAGGCTCCAGCAACACCTTCCAAAGCAGGCCCGGCGCCCCGTGCACTGGGCCTTGGCTCCGGGGGGAGGGTGGGAGGCAGGGCCCAGCCCCTGTCCCAGCCCCAGGACTGGAATCCAGAGCTCCAGCCCCCTGCTTGGCCCCGCTTCCCGAAGGGCCTGGCACACTAGAGTGCAAAGAGGTAGGGGCAGCAGGGTCCCGGGGGGTCCTGGCCTGAGGCAAGCCCACCAGTGAGACGCCTGTCACTTTGATTTCAGCCTGACGGCTGGGGCCGCAGAGTGTCCAGGTGAGTGTGGGGCCGGTGGCCCGGGCCTGCCCGCCCACCCACCTGGCCACCTTGGGTTGCAGGGCTGCGCCGGGGCGACGGCTGCTCAGGGCTGGGTCTGTCCTGCTGCCTGCTGTTTGTGCTTCTGCCTGGCTCCCTCCTGCCCTTATCCACCGAGGCTGACGGCCCCTCCTCCCCCTCCTGCAGGGAAGTCAAGGCCAGTACCTGTGTGACGGACGTGTCCACCCTGCCGGACCGGGGACTGAGTCCTGAGGCCTTGCTGGCCCGCTCCTGCTGTAGCACTGGGAGCCCAGGAGGCAAAGGCCTGGGTGGAGGCACCTCTTCCGCCCCCGTCTCCACTCAGATGAGAAACATGCTCGGAAGGAAATGGTGGCTCTCGTCTGTGGCTGTGGGTGCAAATGGCACGGGCTGGAAGGGCAGGGTGGCCCACTCTGCCTGGCAGGCCCGGGCCATCGGGGGCCCTCATGGGGAGGGTGGACCTCTCACCCAGCCCGGTCTAACTCTCCCCTGCCTGCCGGGCCCCATCTGCAGTGGATGGGCTGAGGAGCCCCGGGGGGCATGGGAACCATGGCAGCCGGGCAGTTTGGTGGGCACCCTGGGGCAGCCTGGTCCCACACTGCAGGGCGGGCCCCGGGCCAGACATGTACATAGTGTTCTAGGTGTACATAGGAGCACGGCCCTCCCCGCCGAGGGCTGGGCTGTATTTATGGCTGGCGGGAGGCCAGTGGGCCAGGATTCTGCTGCTCCCCTCACCTGCCTGGTACCAGGCTCTCTCCTTGCTCACTGGCCTCTTGACATCTTCCCCCCTTTGAAATCCTATTTAAGAACTTTTGGAAGCTTAGCCATTTTTACGTATTAAAATAAAAACTTTTTACATAAGTGTAGTCTGAGTTGGTCTCATGAGGCCCTGGTCAGATCACGGGGATGAGCCCTTTCCTGCGGCTCCCCACTGCTAGCTGTTCACCCACCCACACGACACGTTATCACCTGCATCCTAGAAGCTGAGAAACTGGGCTGGCTCCCCTTATTCCTGGCCTTGCCCCTTCGGTGAACTGGCTGTAGGTGGGCGCCACCCTCCTCCCAGTGCTACAGGACTCTGACCACAAGCTCAGTGACCCCCCTCCTGCCATGGGGTTGTCAGCCTGCACCTGGTCCTGGCCTCGAGGGGGACCGCACGGGGCCTCAGTGGGGCCCCCTTCCCAACTAGGGCAAATCTACCAGCTGTGGCCAAGGGGAACAAGGGCTTGGCACCCCTTGGCAACAAGGGGGCCCTGCAGGAAGTGAGTGCTGTTCAGAGCCCTCACAGAGAACAGGGCAGCTGGAGGCCTTGGGGAGGGGGGGAGGGAGAGTGTCCACGGTAGCCAAGCCTGTGAGTCTGGGGTCCTGGCACCCTTAAGTTTACAGCTGTTGGCTGGCCCTGGCCCTGGAGGGATCCACAGGACAGCTGGGGGTGTGGCTGAGACAAAGGGATGGGCCGGTAGGGCCCAGCCCTCACCTGTTTCCCTGAGCCATGAAAGGGGGCGCTGCTGCCCACCAACCCCTCCCCCCAATAGGTCTGAACTTACCCCTTCCAGCAGGCCTGGCACTCTGCTGCCCCCTGCTGGCCAAGCTGCCTGGCGCACCGCCCTGGGCCTGGACGGCACGCTCTCTCCTTTTTGAGGGTCCAAGCAGGCAGCCCTGGGCCTGAGAGAGCCACGTGGCCAGAGAATGCCCCTCCAGGCAAACAAACAAGGGAATAGTTACAAATTTAATAAAATTCGCCTTATAAATTACAGCAGCAGCCCCAAGGTGCTCTTTGCTGCCCCAAGAAGCAGGAGTTGGCAAAGCTGGGCAGCCACTGGTAGGGAGAAGTTGTCTGAGAGCTCAGGGCTGTGCAGGTGGCCAGTGGGCCAACGCCACTACCTCCAGGATGGCCGCAGGGCTGCAGTAGGGGCCAGGCAGAGGCTCACGGGGCCGGGAGTGCACAGGGAACAGGAGTGGGGGATTGAGGCCAGGCCCAAGAGCACCTCAGTCCAAACTGGCCATGAGCAGGTGCAGCTCGCGGAAGGCACTGCCGTGGCGACCACTCAAACCCGACTTGCTCTTGACGAGGCCACTGATGCTCTTAAGCTGCTTGTAGCAGAGCCGGCACTTGTGTAGCCTGTGGGCAGAGAGACAGTGCTCGAAGTGCTAGGGCCTTTCCCGTCGGACCACTCCAGCCCTCCTCTTGGAGGCAGGCAGAGGCCAGGGACCCAGGACACATCCAGGCCATGCCCAGGCTCAGGGCAGAGCAGGCCACAGAGGAGCCCAGTCTGCATCTACCCGCCGTCCCACAGGGGTACACGGCCAAGCCACTGTTCCAGGCACGCCCCCCTCTATAGGCTGCCTCAGCAGAGCCGTCAATGAGCAGGCTGGACCCCCAAGCCCGTGGACCCCTACACCCCAAAGCCGATACACGGCTTAGCCCCTCACCTCTCCTCCCGGCTGATGTCCACACCCACAGATGGTGGGGCCGCCAGGATGTCGGTGATCAGGGGCAGAAACCGCTGCAGGATCAGCTTCAGGGAGGTGCAGCCAGTCTGGACGTAGCTTCAGAGGCAGATGGACGATGGAGCCACAAATAGAAAGATGGACAGGGATGGAGGGATGGACAGGGACGGAGGGGTGGACAGGGACGGAGGGGTACACAGAACAGGGACAGCACAGGCTAGTTCTCACTGTGGCCCCTCCTGACTTGGTGGGGATGGTAGAGCTGCAAAGCTGCTTCACATGGGCACCAGCCCTGGGATCCTTCCCGGGGTCCCTGAAGGAGCCTCCTGTCCCTCCCATCCCTGCATGAGGCAGGTGTGGCTCCCCTACACATACCTCTCATACTTGCTCTGCAGAAGCTTCTCGATCTGCGGTAGGACCGTGGTGCACAGGTCCAGCTTCCACAGAGAGCTGGGGAGAGGGCCGGGGACACGCTTAGAACCTGGCTCTGCCCGCCCAACCACCCTGTCCGCCACAGCCACTTACGCCTTCTGGTTGACAATGTTGAGGAGGTCCACTACCACGGACAGGTCATTGATAGCCACGGCCGAGTCCACCGACGTCTGTGCAAAGAGAGCAGCTTCAGAGGGGATTGGGGACAGAGCAGCCCCTGCCCGGGTGTGCGTGATGACGGGCTCTGTCATGGGGGTTAACGACACTGCACCTAAAGTGATCACTGTGGGGCCCACAAGGAGGTGCTCGATAAATGGCAGCTTGTGAGGGTGACGATGGCAGAACGGGACGTGAAGTGAGCCGGTGTGGTGACAGGGGCTGCCCCGCCCCACCGCCTCGCCTTCTTGGGCCAGCCCAAAGTCCAGGGGAAGGGTGGTGCTTGCCTTGATGTCACCCGTGGTCCACACGGCCCGCACGGTGTCCAGGTTCTTGTGGCGGCTGGTGAGCACCACGCACATGGTGTCGTGGCCTTTGCGGATCTGCGACATGGCGTCCTCGTCGACCAGCTCTGCCTGCTGGGGGATCTTCACGGCCTATGTGGGACGGGCGCCCCCGTGCCGGCGGTGAATTTCTGCCCTTGCCCTGTGGGCCTCCTTCCCGCCCACAGGCTGGACCCCCACTCACGGGCAGGAAGTCAGAGGCCTTCAGCCCGATGGGCTCATTCCGGGTGGCAGGGATGATGGCAGGCTCGGCCTTGGGCGCAGGAGCGGGAGTGCCAACCGGGGGCCGGGGCAGGACCTCAAGCTGGTGGGGTCCAGGGCTCAGCGGGTAGCCAGCCTGAGGCCTCCCTGTCTGCCCACCCTGGCACGGGGGCCCCAACCTTGGTTCGGGACTTCGGCCCCTCCCCCAGCCCCACACTGCGCACTCCACACCTAGACGTACATTTGGCACCGGGAACTGCGAGTCTGTGGGTGGGCTGGGCTTTGCTGCCTCCTTAGCTGTGGCCATGTCTGGAGGAAAAGGGGAAGATCTCTGGGTCAGCTCAGGCCAGAGGGACTGGCGGGAAGAAGGTAGGGCTATGGTGGGCCTCTGGGTGGCACCTGTTAACTGGGGGAGATGGGCAGGAACCAGTGGGGCAGCTGAGGAAGGAGATAGCAGCGGTGGGGGGGAGGGGCCGTTAGGCGTGGGAGGCTCCGGGGAAGGCCTGAGGGTGGGGGTTGGACCTGTCCCCTCCCTTTCCACCTTCTCCACCGCAGGTCTGGCAGAAAGCAGGCATCAAGCCCTGTGTGTGGATGGGACCCAGGGAGCTCCCAGGAGTGGCCATCCTGTCCCCTCACTGGGAATGGAATGTGGGGAGGGGGGCCTGCAGTGAGTGGATGGTGAGTGGGGAGCACAGGAAATCCCACTTTGAGGGCGAATGATAAGATGGCCCCTTGAAGAGGCAGCCAGGTAGAGGGGAGGGACAAGGGCAAGGACAAGGATGCCCCACCAGGCTTCTTCTCCAATCCGAAAGCAGATGGTTTCTCCCCACAGCAAAACCCAAACCCCCAGCGAGGGCCTGGCCTCCACTCCCAGACCCCAAACCCCGCCTTCCACCTCCCTCCCCCCAGCTGCTTTTCCTGGCTCTTCCCCCTCCACAGGCCCATGGTAGCCCTCTCTCAGCACACCACACCCCTGCCTCCATAGCACGCCCCATCTGCAGCCCCAGCAGCGTGGCTATCTGTCTGCCGTCCACCCTCCTCACTAGGGTGTGGGCCCCTGAGGGGAGCACCTGCCCCCCTTGCTCATGCTCCCTCACCAGGGCCTAGCCTGGGGCCTGGCGCACAGCAGGTATGAGAGACGGGATGGTGCTCTGGCAGGTGAGGCCCGGGGAGCTGGTGACCCTGGGAGGCTGAGCTCTGCCCCCCCACTCACCATCCTCTGGGGGTGCCGGGAAGGGCTCGCTTCTTCGGGGTGGTGTCCGACCTGCAGAGGCAAGTGGGGCTGGGGCCTGACATTGGCCAGCCTGGGGCTCCTGTCTGGCCCTCAGAGCCGGGCGGGGCCAGGACGGAAGGTGGTTCCGAGGTGCGCACACAGCTGCAGGCCTATGACCCTGTTCCCCGTCCCAGGAACTCCCAGGCCTGCCCCCTCCCATCTATCTGCCCCTGGGGTGCCGTCCCTTGCTCGGGACGGGCTGGGGCAATGAGTGACCGCGGGGCCTCTGCTGGGGTCTCGATGACCTGGGAGCAGAGCCTGGGGCCCAGGTGTAAGCTGGGAATCAAGCCACAGAAGCAGAGTGACATCGACGCCGTCCCCCGTAAAGGACCGTCGGCCTCTGCGCACAGCTGGCGACCCTGGGCTGGGCAGGGGCCGGGCCTCACTGATGCTGTTCTTGGGCTGGAAGATCTCGTTGTACTCCTCGGCGTTCTGGATCTCGGCCCGAGACTCCCGCTCGTCCCGGTCATCCTCGCTGCTGGGGCTACGACGCTCGCTCTCCGAGTTCTGCTTCACTCTGTGGGGCAGGGCCGGGCCGATAGGAGGCCAGTCTGGCGAGCTGGGGCCGGTCCCCCAAAGCCTTCGGGAGCCACCCGCCTCCAGAGCCCTCTGGGGCCCTGAGCACCCTACCTCTGAGGCTTGCCGCAGGCTGTGCTGGGCCGCTCATAGATGCGCCGCAGCGGGGCACTAGGGTGGGATGGCTGTTGCGCCAGGGGTCGGCTGTCCTGCACAGGGTCCTGGGCGATGGTGCCTGTCCTGGTGACCCGCGTCAGGTCCACCACATAAGAGGAGACGTTGCTCTGGGAGAAGGCCACACCTATCTGCAGGAAGTGGCAGAGCTGGGGTATGGGTGGGCGGGACCCCAGCAGGGCCGGGGGCACGTGAGGGCCTGAGAGGGGGGTGGTGGGCGGCTCTCTCACCAGCTGGTCGTTGCAGACAGCCAGGTCGGCCACCTTGCCCCAGCTGACGAGGACCACATCGAAGCAGCGCTCGGGCTCCCAGCCGTAGACGCGCAGAGAGTCCTGGCAGCCACTGTACAGGCAGCAGCCATCGGGGTTGAAGAGGACGCTCCTGGGCCAGGCGAGAGTGGGCCGTGGGTCCCACCGAACCCAGGGAGGCCGTGGGGGGGCCCCGGACAGAGGGAGCAGAAGCGGGGATGGGAAAGGCCCACCCGTTGCCACAGCCCCTTGCCCCGGAGGAGGGCGCAGCCCCACCGCGCAGCTGCCTGCGTACCTGACGGGCCCTGGCTCTCCTTCGATGCAGCTCACCACCTGGAACTTCTCCAGATCCCAGAACCGGATGGTCCTGCAAATGCAGTCAGGTTGTGCCAGGGAGCCAGTGTCCCCATGCTGGCCTCCTGCAGGCCTGTATCTAGAAAGCCCGCTTCTCTGCCAACACCTGTCCCCCTGGCTTGTGGCTGCCAGGGCCATGCTTAGGGCCAGGGGATGACCCTGTGCAGGCAGGCGGAGGGACTCAGTGGGTGCGAGGTGAGCCATGACAGCCCAGGACACTGGGGCCGGGGAACCAGGGCTGGGGGTGAGATGGGACCAGGACCCCACCCTGGCTTGGCCGGGAGCCAGTTCAGTCTACAGAGCATGTGAGAGATGGCGGCCATGGACACACAGGGACGGGAGAGATGGCAGTCACAGGCGCACAGGGACGGGAGAGATGGCGGTCACAGGTGCACAGAGATAGAGATGGCGGTCACAGACACACAGAGATAGGAGAGATGGCAGTCACAGGCGCACAGGGACGGGAGAGATGGCGGTCACAGACACACAGAGATAGGAGAGATGGCGGTCACAGACACACAGGGACAGGAGATGGCGGTCACAGGCACACAGAGATGGGAGAGATGGCGGTCGCAGGCGCACAGAGATGGGAGAGATGGCGGTCGCAGGCGCACAGAGATGGGAGAGATGGCGGTCGCAGGAGCAGAGATAGGAGAGATGGCAGTCACAGGTGCACAGCGATAGGAGAGATGGCGGTCATGGGTCACAGGCCTTGCTCCTCCCCCTCACCTGTCCGAGCTGCCAGAAGCCAGGAGGTACTCATTGGGGTGAAACTCCACCACGTTGACAGGCCCCGTGTGACCCGGGAACTCGGACATCATCTTGCCTGCAGTCAGATCCCAGAGCTGGAGCAGGGCAGGATGGAGGTCAGGACCAGGCCTGGGATCCTGGCTGCCTGCTCTCCCTCTATTCCCACCCCAGCTCTTTATCCACAAACCGCCTTCCACTCTGGACAGGCTTGGATATTCGAGCCCGATTGGGGGTGGGGGGAGGGGGAGGACCCAGCCTGAGTGTGATCAACATACCCCAGCCACCCTGGGCCCAGGTCAAGCCAGGAGCTACCTTCACCGTGTGGTCATCTGCAGCCGATGCCAACCACTTCCCATCGGGGCTGAACCGCAGACACCGCACAGCCTGGCTGTGTCCCTGAGGGGAGGACAGAGCACTGAGCTCACCGGAGGCGCCTAGGCCCACTGAGCCTCCCTCCTCACCACCCCGCTCTTGACAAGCAGGCGTGTGCGGGACGTGGCCCAGAGGGTCCCACAGAGGGACACGTCTCCTCGTGCGTCATGCCGCCCAGGCCCACGGGATGCTCCAGGAAACCCAGGCTGCTTGGCCATCCATGTAGTTTGGAACACAACATATCTTACGCCTCTCCTGGAGAGGTATGTGTCCTCTCTCAATGTCGAGGATCTAAAGACCTCCAAAATTGTTAAACTCAGTGCTTTCAAACACATATGAACAGGATGCTTTCTACCTAATGAGGCCGGTTACCCGCCTACACCACCAGAGCAGGGAGCGCAGTTTGGTAAGTGCGGCTCTGGGACGAATCGTGGTAAGTGGGGACCCGGTGGACCGCCCATGGCACCCCTGCTTCGCTCTAGATTCACGTTTCTCACCTGGACCCTCATTTTCCGTATTGTCACCTGAGTGGGACAGAGCTCCCCCCACCCTCCAGCCCGGGCCTGGGCCCAGGCACCACCCCAGGCTCCAGGACTGCACAGTGCTCATGGATGAGGGGCAAAGGGCACCTTCCTTACCTTGTATCGGAAGACACAGCCTTTCCTCCTGATGTCCCAGAGCTGCGGGGAGAGGGGCAGAGGGGCAGAGTCAGGACAGGTCATTACGAAGGTAGGCCTGGGCCGGAGGGGCCTAGCCCAGCTCAGTCTTGGAGCCCTGGTCAGAGGGTGGAGTGCAGCCACGAGCAGAGAGGGCTTCTAGGCACCTGCAGCTCATTATGCCCCAATATGGTGGGGTTTTGGAAACTGTTTACTGAGGGTGGGCATTCTTTTTTTTTTTAATTTTTTTGCTGAAAATATTACATTTTAATTTCTTATTTATTTCTTTTTGAGAGAGAAAGAGAGAGCATGAGTGGGAGGGGCAGGGAGAGGGGTCTGAAGCGGGCTCTAGGCTGACAGCAGTGAGCCCCACGCGGGGCTCAAACCCACAAACCATTAGATCATGACCTGAGCCAAAGTTGGACGCTCAGCAGCCTGAGCCACCCAGGCGCCCCAAAGCTGGGCATTCTGAGCAGATGTCTGGTGAATATTTCCACATCCCCTTCCTCGGAGGGTGCAGACGCTACCAGAGAGGGAAGATGCACCCCACACCCGAGCCAAAAGCTACCTCCTCAGATACGACACACAGTCTAGCGCCCACCGCCAGCCCAGTGGGGGGAGGCACAGGGCCCAGAACAGGGTCTCACCTTGATGTTCGTGTCCTGGGAACCTGAGGCCACGAACTCGCCGTACGGGTGGAAGTCCAGGCTGCAGATGTTGGCTTTGTGTCCCATAAGTGTGCGAAGAACTGTCAAGGAAGAGAGCAGAGACGGGGCATGAGAGGCAAACAGGACACCCGGTGGAGGGAGGGCCGTTGTGTCCCGCATGCAGGTGCTTCCACGGTAACCACAGAAAACCAAAGCAGCGATTTTAAAAATAGGGAGACAGATCAACCAGAGTTCTACCACCCCAACAACGGATTTTCCTGTTTTCCTCCTGAGAGACAGAGCCACTTCTGTCATTACCTGAGCCCCAGGAAATGCAGTGCACACTCCCTGTGGCTTGCACCCCCGGGCTCGTCCCAGCGTGCTCTCACAGGGCGCTGCCCTAGAGTCAGCAGAGCAGGACAACTCTTGCACTCGGTTCCCTTGTGTTCTCCTGGGCCCCCCACCACAGCTGAGACAGAAGAGGGGTGCAGGAGAGGTCCATGCTGGGGGAGAAGCTGCTTGGTTGAAAAGAGAAATCCAGGAAGGCTTTTTGGAGGAGGTAGTATTTGAGCAGGACATCAGTGGGTAGAGGACGAGGAAGGCTATCAGGTAGAGGGAAAAGGTGGGCAAAGGTCCCCAAGGAGGGCAGCTGGAGGGCATGCCTGGAGTGATCGTGGTCCTCACACCAGCCCCCGTCCAAGGGGTCTTGATGGTGGCTGTGAGGACGGGACGGAGTGGGACGGGAACCAAGAAGACAAGAAGGACATGACTGCCGCCCTGGGGAACCTCGGCTCCCACCCTCCGAGCATTTGCAGGCAGATCGGTGGCCAGGCCCGGCCCAGCCTACGGGCACACCTTGTGCTTTTATCTCAGAGTATTCCCGGCACGACTCAGATCTGCTGCTTCTCTCTGGCCTCGACTGTCTTGCTTGTTAAAAGATTTATAATTTTACAATCTGAATGAAACAGATAACCCAATTAGTGCAGGGGCCAAGGCGCGTGGGAATCCAGCCATCTTTAGGTTTGAATCAAGGCGAAACAGTTGCCTTGTGAGGTAATGAGCTCTCCGTTGGAGGAGGTGTTCAAGCAGACTCCAAACGTAATGCTTTAGGGACAGGAGAGGTGAGCTGCGAGCACTGAGTCAATTAAACAAACTCCAGTGTACGATTGGCTCCATCCCTCAAGGTCCAGGTCCAGGGCCCTGGAGTCAGACGGAAACAGGAGCGGTTTGGCTCTGCTCCCTGCTTGCTATGTGGCCCTGGACAGTCCCTTACCCTCTCCGAGCCTCACAATGGTCCTGACCAGAGTTAAGAAAGTGGACATAGGTGCTTAGCGTGGGACTGCACACAGAAAGTGCTCAATGAATGCCAGCTATAGTTATTCTTGTTGTAATTCCTTTCTGCATGAGAGCTGCTTCCTCTGTCCTCCAGTGGAGCCTTTTCCCGTCCTCTGGCCTCAGAACACATAACCTGGTTCTCTGTCTTCTGGTACCAGTGAGGGCTCCTCAGTGCCCATGGCCATTTGGGTGCCTCCCTCCTCCCCAGGACATCTGCTGAGCACTGCTGGTGTGTGGAGAACAGCCTGAATGACATCAGCACATTAGCCCCTCCCACCCCCCCAACTGCCCCCAAACACCACCAGGAGGCGGGCGAGGGCCTGAGGCTCAGAGGGTGGAGCAGCCTGCCCGAGGCCAATCAGCAGGGCGCAGGGCCAGATTTTCAGGCAGGCATCAGTGTCCTGAGAAGCATGTTTTACCACGTGACCCTTTACCTAAGTCAAGGGCGCTCATCCGTCTATGGCTCCTAACACAGCCAGGTGCACCTCAGGGCAGGATCAAGCGAGCTGCTCCTCCGATCCACCTTGAGGTCAAAGTGCAGCCCTCTGCCCCCCGCCCACCATATCCACCCGTCCTACTTGGTGCCACTCTGCAGCAGGCCCTGTCGGGCGCCAGGCTGGGACCGAGCCACCTTTACCTCCTCCGCAGCATGTACGGGGCACCTGCCACATCTGTGGACTATGTAAGTCAGCCACCACAGAACCTGAGCGACCGCCTCCACCCCCCCCACCCCCCTGCTCTCTGGAGCTGCCACATGCCGCCAGGGGCTCAGGGGCTGCTTTGCTGGCTGAGTCCAGGGCCAGAGGGTACAGATATGTGCTGGCTCCTGCTCCACTCCATGCCCACCTCCCAGCCCAGTTGCTTTGCACCCCTCTTTGCTTCCAAAATCCAGCCCTGCCCCGAGAGGATGTGGCAGCTCCCAGCCCCGTGTGGGCCAGATTCGGGCAACACATCTGCATTGATGGCTTCCTGCGGGATGGCTGGGCTGCCCCGCCCTTGGCCTCTGGCTTAGCCGTGGAAAGCAGGCAGGACCACATTCTTCTGGCGTGACTTCTGCCCTTGCTCTTCTGTCCTAGGATGGCCCCTGGAAGTCGTCGTACCGCAGGCCTCAGTCACAGGATCCCAAAGTTGCAGAGTGGGGGGGCATCCTGGATCAGTCTGCCCCATGTGGGAATCTCCAAGCTGCCCCAGTGGAATAGCTGCTCGACCTCCGCCTAAACCCTCCGGTGACAGACAGTGACAGTCAGGGAGCCCTTTGGGAAGCCCCTGTGCACCTGGGGTGCCAATCAGCCCGTCGTCTGCACTCAGGCTGTGGTGGGCGGGAGTGGAGGTCGGCCTGAGGTCTTGGCTCTTCCTGCCAAGGCTGCTGAGGGCAGGTTTCTGTCCCATCACTGAACCCCCAAATCGCAGGGTGAACAGCACAAGGCCGGGAGTATTGATGTCAGGATTTGAGTCCCAGGTTCTGCCATGCCAGCCATGGGGTCTTCAGGAAGCTCAGGGGCCCTCCTTGGGCCCTAGTTTGCCTGTGTGTCAAATAAAGGGGCCCTGCCAACCTGGCTCTGCATCAGAATCACCTGGAAGCTTACTGAAAGCCAGATGTGGGCCCATGCCACTATTGAATCAGGTTCTCCAGGAGTGAGGTCTGGGCCACGTTTGGAATGAGCTCCCCATGGAGTAGCCAACCCTGAGGGCCCCGGGCCCCGGATCCCATGGGTGTTCAGTTTTTATTCTTTGCCTGCCTTGAGCTCCGCAATTTCCTGTATGTGAACTAGTCATGGCTGAGAAAGTGCGGCGCCCCTGGCTTCTCCCTTTTGTCCTTTGCTCCTCAGTGAATGGTGACTGGCCGGTGCTGATCCTTGGGATTCTGATCCAGGCAGAGACTTCCCAGGAAGCAAACCGCCTTCTGCCTGAGCCGTTCTGCCCTCTCAGCTGGAGCCCAGTGGGCCGGCTTGCTCCTCCCTGGCCCCTCGAGTCCAGCACTACCCAAGCACAGCGCCCCGGCTGGCTCCCGCGTGTGGCCAGGTGGCGGGAACACACGCTGAGACGCTAAGCGTGCAGCCCCGGTTTCATAACTCGGGGGGCTCCATCTTGCACACGCAGCCCATCACTGGGAGGGCAAGCATCACCCAAACAGCCCAGGGGCGACATCTCTCCTGAGGACCATCTACACAAGAAGACCACTAATCTTGAGCAGAGAGAACTTGGCCACTGGGCATACGTGGCTGACGGCGGCTGTGCTCCCGCAGAGGTAGAGCACGCAGCACAGGAGAGGCCCAGAAAGACCTTGGAGTCTCAACCAGGCAAGGGGGTGCTCTTCTGGAGAAAGCAGCCTCAGCAAAACCCCAGCAGCAGTTTCCTCTCCCGTCCCTCAGATACTGGAGGACCTCCCGCCTGGCATGTTAGGAGGTCCAGGCCCGACACTGGCAAATGGCAGCGAGCAAGCAGGTTTTCCTTGGACCCCTCACTGTTGGCCTGCACGGTGCTCTGCAAAGCTGCTGAGCTAGCTGTCGACATTCACAAACGGGGGGATCCCACTGAAATTTCCAGATTCCCAGCTTCTCTTAAACAAGTCTGTACGGCTGGCAACACTGGGCACACATGCCATGTGGCAGCCCCCCCAGGGAAGGCAAGATGCCCCCCAGGGCCCGGGACCAAAGGCGCAAGTCTATACACCGAAAGAACCCAGCAAGGACCTAGCAAAAGACCAGGGGTCACCAGCGCAAAACCTCAGGACACTGGGACAAAGTGCCTGCAAGGTCGCAGATGCAGGACAAGCAGGTCCCAGGTGAGGGACCCAGGAGACCGCACAGACCTCCCAACAGCAACTCAAACAGGACCCCACCATGTGATGTAGCTGCACCTTTAAAATCCTGAGGGAAAACTATTTCCGACCTAGAATTCTACAGACTCTAAAAAATAAATAGATAAAAGAGGATGAGGGCAAGATAGAGTCATTTTCAGCCACAGACGGTCTCTACAACTGAGCCCGTCACGCACCCTCTCCGTGAGCTATGAGAATGTGCTCCAGCAAACAGAGGCAGAAAACCAGGAAAGAGGGCAACTTGGACCCTGGCAAGGCAGAGAGATGGGGACAGTTCCCTGAAGACAAGGCGGCCCCAAGATGGCGGCTGGGCTGCAGGCTGGCTGCCCCCACGCCACCCGGACCGGGCGGACAGAGGCTCTGAGAAGACACCTCGATTACAGGACGGGTTTGAGAGGAACTCAAGGAGGCTGACTCTTCCGGCAGAGGATTTGGGGACAGATTAGTAACAAACACGTAAAACACATACAGATGCAAAAAGGATGGTTATTACCTCAATCAACTGTGAATACTGTCCCTGTGGTCCTGGTCCTAAAAACACGGACTATTCACAAGCTGAAAGTAGGAAGGCGGAGGGGCGGCGCTGGGAGTGCCAGAGGTTAGGGCGGGCAGCTCTAAGAGAGCTAACTTTTTTTTTTATTAAGGAATCTCTACACCCATCATGGGGCTCGAACTCACACCCCCAAGACCAAGACCCACACGCTCCACTGACCGGGCCAGCCAGGCTCCCGTCAGAGAGCTAACTTCTTGTCTTCCATGGGAGGAAGGCAGCAAGAGACATACAGAAGACACAGGAGTTGCCAGAATTCCTTGTTCCTCAGGAAAGCGGAGGTAGCGAGACACGAGGGAGAAGGACAGGGGTTGAGCCCCTGGAGACTGGGAAGGAGTGGGGCGAAGCCTTCTCGTTTCCGGCATGAGTATTTGTAGTGACCGGCATTTGACTAAGCTCTGTACGACTTCTACAATAATGAAAACGGAATTCAAAGAAACAGCACAAGGAGACAGAAGACCCGCACACCCCAGGCCTTATTGCTGCAGGCAAGTTAGCCAGAGCGGAGAGGCGGCCGCCCCCACGTCCAGGCACACGCACCCCGGTTCTCCCCACGGGCCCCCACGCTTGTTCATGGGTCTGCGTGGCCCCTGGCGTTCTCCCAGGTCCTGAATCCACACAGACACCCACCCGCCCATCCACTGCTGTCCAGGACCTCTCCTGGGCGTCGGCACTCAGAGGCAGCACGTGGGTCGCTGCTGCCAGGCTCGAGGGGGCGGCAGCTGCCACATGGGCTGGTAAGGTCTCCAGGAGGGAAGCACCCAACGGAGTCAGGACAGGCTTCCCAGAGGAAGCAGCTCATGGCAGAGCTTGAGACAACACGACCGCAGGTGGACATGTGGGGAAGGCAAGCGCAGAGGCCTACTTTTGGCAGCTTCTAGGTCCCAGACACGGATGGAGCCCGACTGGGAGCCGGCCACGATGAGCTCCTCCGGGGTGTTGAGGCGGACGCTCTCCACTGGGGACGTGTGACCCGTCAGGCTCTGCGGAGAGAGGGGAGCAGCTTCAGTGCATTGTGCGGAGAGCCCCCAGCTGCCGCCCCAGTTCCTGGCTCCCCCCAGAAGGGCAGCAGCAAGAAGTGGCTCAAGCAGGGAGGCCTGCTCCCCGGGGCCACACCTAGGCCCTCCTGCAGACCGGCTGGGCAGCCACTTCTCCTGGCCGCGGCTTCCAGGGCCAAAAGGGCGCCAGACCCGTCACGCTCCAAACCCCTCCCACTGCCCAGTGTGCCCCAGATGAGGACGCCATTTGCCCGAGTGGTCCTGGGCCCCTTGCAGGGAGCCGCTGACCCTCCAGCCCCGAGTTCAAACCACGGCCCACCTAGGCTTTGCTTCCATTTGCACTTTGCCTGGCCGAGCTGCTCGGGAGGGGAAACCCCGACGGAACCGAGGCCTGGCTGCTCAGCGGCACACATCTCACCCCTCTAGAAAGCCTGGATCCCTGGGGGCTGCGCCTGGTGGAGAACCCAGCCACGCTCCCAGGCAGGGGCCCGGGGAACCCAGAGAGCAGGGCAGTGACTCTACTGCTAAAAACTCTCACCCAACTCGGCACAGGCCAGAGCTGAGCAGGGCTAAGCCAGGTCCCGGCCCAGCCCCTTAGAGGAGTGGGAGGTGCTGGCATTTCCAGCTTGCTGGAGAGAAGGCTGGAATGTGAAGTCCATAGCAGCTGTCACTCCCCGCCCAGAAGTGGCCACCTCAAGGCACAGTGGGGACTCCATCATTGTTTGCTAAGACGATGTTCTGAGGGAGGGGTGGGGATGCAGGGGAAGCTGAGCTCCAGCAGAACTACCCCAAGGCCAGACAGTCACAAGCAGCCTGTGTGACTCACAGACGTCACCAGCAGGAGTACAAACGGGTATAAACTCCTTGGGGGGGGGGGGGGCACGCTTAGAAATGCACATTCCCTGCATGCTACAACCTACCTCTGGGGGCCTACCCTGCACGCGCTCAAACACACGGCAGACAAAATAGACACAAGGTCATTCACTGCAGCGGACCTTTTACACAAAAGACTGGAAGCCATGTAAGTGCCCACCGGAGGAAACCGGTCAGCTAAGCTGTGGTCAGCCATGCAACAGAGTACTTATTACTCGGCCATAAAAATGAATGAGGTGGCCGTCTGAATATAATAAAGACTACCTCCATGACACTTTTAGGTGAGAAAAGGTGAAGAACAGTGTATATAGGACAATATTTGTATAAAAAAAAGGGGAGGGGGGATTCTGGAAGGACACAAACTACTCAGGAGCTGTGCTGTGGCTGTCCCTAGGGAGGGATGTGGGCATCAGCGGAGGAAAGACTTCTCACTGCTTACCCTGGTTCATTTGGATCCTGACCTATACGAACTCACACATACTCAGAAACACACCCAAACAGGTGACAGTGGTCCATCTACAGGGGGAGTAGCAGGAGCCTGAATCCGCAGGTGAGCAAGAACGCAGCGGGTGTGAAGAGCTAAGAGGCCTGGTATATGATATGTAAGCAGGGGAGACATGGTGGGGGGAGGCCTGCAGGCTGACCCCGGTGGAAGAAGAGGGTTCCCCACCGTCCGGTGGGGGCCAAGAGCATGGGGTCACTCCGGGTCCACTTTGGTCGGCCTTTATTGATTCGTTTTCAACCCGTATAGGTTACTTTGGCATTTTGGGGGTGGGGGTGGGACACGCTTGAACCCGGAGAATATAGTGAAGTGAAACAAAGCAATTTCAATTCTGTTCTTCACCCTGGCCCTGGTTCAGCTCGGATCTCAGTTCTTGGCTGCATCACACAGAAATACTGAGGTGATTAAGTTTCTACTTTAAAAAAAAAAAATCACTTCCTATCCCTTATCTTTATCTTCCCGTGGCCAAGAATCATAAGAATGTTAATACCCTGCACTGGTAAGGTTGGGGGGGGTGCAGGTCCCCATTCTTCTGGAAAGAATATAAATTGATTGCTGGAGGGCAATTTGGCAATATGTTTTGAAAGCTTTTTAAAAAGTGCACACCCTCAAATAATGCAAGCACTACAGATCTGCTCAAAGATCAAGGTAGATGAGGATGTTCCCCTCTGTGGCTGAGCGGAGCCACCACCCTGGAAATGACCTTTGGGCTGGGAGCAGGGCGTGGCTGAGCTAACCCCGGCTCACCCCTACAATGGAACACCAGAAGTCCTTACAAACCCTGCTGCAGAAGGGTGCTTGCTGGCCCTGGAAATTGCTCGCAAACAATAAAAGATTGTGATCTTTAGAACCCAGGCTGCAGAAGAGTAAGACAGTGCTCCAAAAATATACGGTTATGTACTGACGCAGTGCGCGTGTGTGCATTTGCTCATGTGTATGGGTACATGTATGCACATGTATGTATCTGTACCAGCACCTAGAAGGGCACAGACCAAAATACCAACTGCAGTGGTCTCTGGATGGTGGTAGTAGATCTAATTCATTTTTGTATTTTCCTCCTTTATGTTTTCCCACTTTGCAAGCCAGTTCCGGGCAATGAATTTCGTTATGTGACCGGGGGAAAGAACCAGCTCGCCAATAAGCTTCAACCTGGTGCCCCCAAATCTTTTCTGTGGAAGGAGACAGGGAATGATTCAAAGTACCTCCAAGCACAGCCGACAGGTGGGCGGATGGGCCAGTGGGCAAGCCTCAGTCTTGAGCCCACGGGCTTATTTTAGCTTTCTCACACAGGCTCCCGGAATTCTGTCCACAGCAGGGGACTTCCCCATTCCTGAGGGCTAGTCACTGGCCCAGCCATCCTGGGGTGTTGGGGGCCTCCCTGAGCAGATGGCTATGGGCCGGGGGCAGGGGGGCGCTGATGTTGCATTGCGTCCCCCTAGCCTCCACAGAGCCTGCAAAGCCACCTGCCCCCCACGCCCCGACCCCACCCTGCCCACAGTCCCCTCCCGGGCTTTGTCCTATTTCCCGCAGGCCGGCAGGGCTCACCATGATGCAGTTGGGTTTGTTGATGGACCACAGGTTGACACGGCAGTCATCCCCGCCAGTAGCCAGCAGCCGCCCAGAGGCTTTGCCCAGTACCAGCGAGGACACATTGCTGGCGTGGGCGACGATCTCCTCTACACAAGGAAGGACAGGAGGAAAAGGCAGTCAGGGAAGGCGGCCCCTGGGCCTGGCGCCCGAAGCCCATCAGAGGGCTCTGCCCACCACAAGTCCCCTTCGGTGACAGCCTGACATGAGCTGCTAGGACAGGCCTGGCGCCTGAGGCGGAAGTAACTATTTCTCGACCTCCGGTATTCCTGTCCCACCCTCGGGCCTCACGGTTTTCTCCTTTTTCTACACGTCAACTGGTAGTATTTTTATGATTACTATGCTCCACTTAATAAATTGACTTGCCTTTTGTATTTATCTTTCTAAATAAAGAGAATTAAGCAATAAAATCCATAGAGTTACAAGATCCATACATTCATTATACTTTGACTGTAATACAAAACAAAAACAATTATTAAAAGGCAACGATTTACCCACGTACCACCTAGGCATCTCTCCGGGGCTACATCTCTCTGGGGCTGCTTGCTACACATATAAACCCACCTTGTGGAACATACTCTGACCATTCAGGTCAACTCCAGACAGGCTGTCTCCATGTGAGCCTACCCAGGGCTCCAGCCTGCGGCTTCAGTTAACCTACTGAGCCTCCCAGGTGCACCTAGTCTGCGGCTTCAGAGTCGCGGACCAGGGTCTGGCCCGCGCTCTGCTACTGTAGGCCGTGTGGCCTCAGACTAGTCACTTACCCTCTGAGGGCTGGGTTCCTCATCGGTAAATGGGGGTAGTGACAGGGCCTGGTTCACTGAGTTGCTGAGGGTTCCCTGAGAACATTCTGTAAGCTGTGCTCAGTGGTTGTCGGCAAGGCCAAGGCACAGAGAGAGGGCACTGGGGGTGCCGGCGGGTGGGCCACATGGGGGCGGGAGGCAGGAGGCAGCCAGCTGAGAGGCCCGGCATGAGGGGTGCGAGTGAGGGCTGAGCAGACAGAGCGGGAGGTACGTCCACAGTGGGCAGCCCCGGGGGCCCCTGGCCAGGACTGCTGAGGCAGCAGCAGGGCAGCGGACACAAACCACAGTGGGTCCCATCAGTGCTCCGAAGGGAACAGACACAAGCAAGGTACCAAGAGGCAGCCCAGGCCTGTAAGTCAGACCCTAGTGACTTCCTCCTGGGAATGAGGAGGAGAAAGGACAGGTCTCCCCACATCAGCATAGGGAAAACCCCAATGTGCCGACACCCCGAGGCAGCCAGAAGGCTGGCGTGGGTGACGCTCAGGAAGGGCTTGTGGTTGTTGCACAGTGGGCCTCTCCTGCGCTCCGGCCTCCGCCCTGCCTGGGGGTCTCTGCGGCACTGGTGTCACCCCACAGGGCGATAGGAAAATGGGGCCCAGGAAGGCTGCTTGTCAGGAAGTATGGCTCAGAGGGGAGGTCAAAACTGCCCGGAGGACCAGACACCAGGCTCAATTTCACAGACGACGCCCCACCTCAGGGCCCCGCCCAGCCCCAGCAGAGGCCCAATGTCAGGGGGGACCTTGGGGACCCCATCCCTGAATTCACGGGAGCTGAGTCCCTCCCTAAGCTGCATCTCAACTATGGAGAGTTCTGCCCTCTGGACACTACAGGGACAGATGTCTGGGGTGCTCTGGGGCTTTGGCCACAGACTCTTGTCTGTTCAAGAGCTTCTGCTGGGACTTAGTGACTGCCCAGCCCGGAAAGAGAGCAGACCACCTTCTCCCTGAGCACTTAGTTCCCAAGCCCTGGGCCTTCTCCCCTTCTCCGAAGACACTCCCTGCACGCACTGCCCTCCACCTGGGACCAACCTAAAGGCCTAGGTATCTACCTTGGTTCTCACCCTTCCCAGGGAGAGCTCTGGGGGGGCTCCACCTCAACAGGCCTTCTTGGGCACGCTGCCACCCCTCTCTGGGCCTCGGGACTACTGCCCCTTGACTCGTAATATAAATGTTTCCTGCGTGCCTGCCCTGGGGAGAATGTGGGGAACGACGGTGAGAAAGCTCCTGTGTTGATGCTATGGCCTGACCAGATGGGTCCAAGGACGTGGCACCCGGTTGGAAGGACCACAGATGTCGGCATGAGAAGGATGTGGAGGTCGGGCCTTTCCAGTGGGGCTCAGATCACTCCCCTCTAAGCAGCCTGACCAGGGTCTCCAGCCTGACAGAAGCGTCTGGAGGAGCCGGAGACCAGCAGGAGAGGGGAAGCGCAGCACGGGCATCAGGCAGAGGAGACCTCAGCACGGGCACCAGCCCGAGAATGCTCCCTCTGGCCTGGAGGACAGCAACCCGCAATGGCCCAGGCTGGGTACCGAATTTTAGTGCGAACAAATACAGTTCCTCACAGCATCTCTTGGCAGGCCAGGTTGCTGGCTGCTGCTCCGCCCTCTGGCACAGGCCTGCGCCAGTTTCTCAAGCTCAGTTGGCACAACAAGGGCCCGACATCCCAGCCAGAGCTGGGGAAGTGGCATGCTGTCAGAGGTGCTGAGGATTTGCATCCTAAACAGAAGGTGCAGAGTACTGGGCTCCAAGCTGGCCTAGCACCTTCCGATCCTTGCTGGACTCTACGGCCACAAGGAGCCAGAGGTCATTTGGCATTGGACTCTTCAGACAGCTTCTGTTCGTGGCAAGTGCTATGCACATGAACTTGTCAGCAGAACCCGACATGCCTGATCATATTACCTCTTGTTTGAACACTTTGATGGCTTGATCTTGCCTTTAAGATAGAGCCAGGGCCTTAGGAGGGCTGGGATCCCGTGGACAAGTGCCCCCAAAGGCCCCAACAGCCTCATGTGACACATTCTCTCCACTGTTGTGCGGCAGCCTTTTTTGAGCCCTTCCAACACGCCAAGCTTCCTGCCCCAGGGCCTTTGTACGTGCTGTTTAGGCAGCCTACAACACTCTCCTACCCTGACCTGCTATCATCTAGTTAATGGATTCAAAGCACAGGTCTCAGCTTGGAATCAGAGAAGGAGAAACGGAGGGGTGTGGTTATTTGATTCCTGCCTGTTGCTCTCCCCAGGCTCTGAGCCCCATTGCACAGGGACCTCATCTATTTTGCAGCACCCCCACCCCCACCCCGCCTTGACTATCTCCTTAGTACCTGATTCTATGCTCAGGAAAGGCCAGCTATGAGGGAATATGTAACCCCTAAAATTACAGAGCCACTGTGTCCAAACTGTACCCTCTTTGGGAGCCCACAACAGGGTTCTCCCAGAACCTTGGGGTTAAGGGACAATTTGAAACTGCCCAAACTTCTCATTTTACATGTGAGGACACTGAGGTCCAGCAACAGGCTTTGGCTAGCTTCTGAAAACAGCTCAGGGACAGCTCGTAGCAGAAGGTGACCAGTGTGGGCACAGGAAATCTATGCCAACAGGTTATTATAGGTGGGGTGAGGCTGTTCCCCAAATACGATCTGAGGGACCTTCGAATCCTCAAGGACCCCTCCAGGAGTCCAAGAGAACAAAACTATTTTCAGAACAACACTGAGATGGTATGCGACTTTTACACTCTCGTTTGCTCACAAGCATACAAGGGAGGGGATTTTTTTGGGAAGACATGTGATGACATCATCACAAAGGGCACGTTTGACTATATACGCTTATGTTTTAAAGTGTCTGATGTTAATTTCTAACATGTAAATATTGATAACTCCCATAAACAGAAAGTCATCAGGGGTCCTCAACAATTTTTAAGAGTATAAAGAGGTACAAAGATCAGACGTTTACAAGCGCGTGAGGGTGGGTCATGCTGGTGCTCAGCCATGTTCCATTCCAGAGCCTTGCCAGCACCTCTCGACCTCCCTTCCCCCACCAGCCCTGCTCCAAGACGCCCCACTTCATGGAGGAAGCCTGACTTGTGTGATGTCTGCAAAGGCCAAGAACACCTCTTAACATTTCTCCCGCAATCCCGCCCGTCAGCCTAACCACACTGAGAGCTGCTTTTATGTCCACCACCTCGCCTGTGTCTCACGGCAACTCTAGAACATAGGTGCGATCATCTCACTACACAGACAGGAAATTAAGCGTCAGAGGGGTTATGTCACCTGCCCAGTGTCATCCAGCTAAGAAGTGCCAAAGTCATGAGTTGCATCTTGGTGTATCTTACTGCAAGGCTGGGAGTCTCTCTCTGTGCCAACAGCAGGAGCCAAAGCTGGGGGTTCTGGCCATCCAGCAACAAGCAGCTAACAGATAAAAGGGGTGAGCAAGGAAAAAAATGGGGGGAATCACTCACGCAACTTCCAGGCTGTCTTGGTGACCACAGGGGTGGCCATCCTTCAGTTGGCTGGCACCTGAAGCTCTGCCCACAAAGTAGACTGCTTTCCTCCAGGGGTGGGGGTGGTTCCCCCCCAGGATCCGCCAATCAAGTTGGCAAGGAGTTCCCGCACATCCAGGCAGAGGGAATGCCTTGACTCTCAGCCCCGAAGTGCCTCCTGGTTTTAAATCAGTCCCAGCAGCCACAGCAGCAGCCTGTGCGTGCCCGTCAGGATCCTGGCTCATAGAATGTCAGGCTTGAGCCATCTCAGCTCAACCCTGGGCTGGAATACAAATGGAAGCGATGGCTTGTTAGAAAACACTTGGTAGGAGTTTGCAGAACTCTGGGCTCGCAGAACCACAGCTGCCGTTCCCTGGATCACCAAGGCCACTGGATAAAGAGACACCCACCAAAGCCACCAGAGCCAGGAGCTGCACTGCCGATCGGGTTTGAGAATCTGTTGCGGGCACCTCAGGCAGGGTGACTTGGAACACAGGAAAAATAGGTCCTCCCAGATGCCAGGATGATGGGATGGGAGGAGGCTGGCCGCCTGAAGTGCAGCAGCCGCAGTGGGGCGGGGAAGACCACATGTCCGCAGTCCAGATAGATCTCTGGGAATGACTGCTTCGTCTGACGCTAGGGGAAGGGGGTGGAGTCAGAGGCTAAGCTTTATGGGCCCAAGAGAGGCACTCCAGAGACAGGCATTTAAGTCTTCTCTGGCTAGAATCTCAAAGAGGGCCCTGACGGTCTAATCCCTCTGTTCCTGGCAAGGAAACTACTCCTGGCCCCAGCAATTACCAAGGACAGACCGGGAACTAGGTCTCCAGTCTGGGCATGAGGCGGTAGGACTCCTCAACTCTGAAAGGCCACCTCATGAAGCCTTCTACCCTTTCTCCAAGCCTCTTTCCCATGAACCCTCTCCTCTTCCTCCCTTCTCTCCTGGATTCCCCGGTTCTGCCGTTCATTCCCTTTCTCCTTGCCTCCTGTATTCTCCATTCGTGCATATCCTGTCTCCTGGGCTCCCTAACTTGACCCCTGCCTCGCCAGACCCCCTTTATGTCCCTCCCTACTCTTCTATCAGTATCCCCCATTCATTCAGTCTCCCGCTTCCAGTGTCCCTATTCACCACCCATCCTCCTGCAGACCCCCGGCTCCGCTTCCGGCCTCCGGTGTTTTCTCCTCCGGCCTCCACGCCCATCCCGCCAGTCCCGCCCGTCCCGAGTCTGGGGCTGGTCCCACGGCCTCGCCTGATCCTCCCACTCCTCTCAGCAGGGCACGGGCTCCCACTTCCCCCTGCCCAGAGCCCTCTCCGCCACGGCCAGACTCGGCCCCGCCCTATGTAGCCCAGTCCAAGGCCCATAGTCCCCCTCTACTCCTCGCCCCCTTGCCCACTCCACCTGCAGCTGAAGCTCCGGAGGCCAAGGCTCCGCTCCAAGCGCGACCCCCACTTGCCTCCATCCCCTGCCCTGATTGGTCGCTGCTTGACAACCGACCCTCACAACAAAACCTCCGGCTCAGAGCCCCGCCCTCCTTACATCCCGCACCAATCAGCCGCCGCGAGCGCTCCACCTCCAGCCAGGTTTAACCAATCGAAGCAGGCGCTTCTGCCGCTTTTCCTAAGTATCCGCCCTCTTTTCCTGTATTGGACTAATCACGAGGAAGGAGAACTCAAGAGCCTCCCCTCAGCTTCTAATTAACCAATGAGGGCTGTCATTTTCTTGGTCCCGCCTCCGCCTCAAAATTTCCCTTTCCTCCCCTTTCCTTCTCTCCCTCAAACTTAATTCGCGTTTGAAAGCATTTCGAAACGCCCTCCGATGCCGGTTGAGCCAATCGCTTTAGCAACCGTACCAACTTAACCAATAGGCTTTAGCCTTATTGGAAAACTCAATTCCCAGATAGCCAATGGGAAGCGGGCATCGGGAGTAATGTTGAAGGCACGGACCTTCCATCTTGGAAGGGGGCGAGAAAGTGATGAAGTTTTATCACCTTGCCATAGTTTCTGCTCCTTCCCTCTAGTCGGGGCGTGTGCTGCAGTGGTCTTAAGAACTTTACCCCTATTCTCCAGCTCGGAAGGGAGAGTTACAGGGAAACGAAGCTTGATCCCGAGTCCAAGCGGGCCGTAGAGATCCGGAGTGCGGTCCCACAGCCCCGCGTCAGTGAATGGATGAGTGGACTGCCACCTTAAAGGCACTGTTACGGAATCTGGTCTGGATCACCCGGCGGAAGAACCAAGCGTCAATCGGAGATCTTGGAAGGCAGAGTGTTTATCATACACCGGTGGGCTCAGAGGAGATCATTCTCCAGAGGTCTGAGCCCAGAGGGTTAGCAGGGGGAACAATTTATAGCCTGTTACTTCCTCATTCCTCATTAATCAGGGACAGGTGCTTTCTTCTTAGTCCTATGGGCCATCTTACAACAGATTTTCCCTATCATTCCCCCCCTTTTTTATTTATTTATTTATTTATTTCTAGGAGAGAGAGAAAGAGAGACAGACAGACAGAGTGAGCAGGGGAGGGTCAGAGAGAGAGGGAGACACAGATTCTGAAACAGGCTCCAGGCTCCGAGCTGGCAGTCAGCACAGAGCCCGACGCGGGGCTCGAACCCACGAACCGCGAGATCATGACCTAAGCGAAAGTCGGACGCTTAACCGACTAAGCCACGCAGGCGCCCCTATCATTCCCCCCTTTGATGCCCCTTAAAACAGATCTAGTCTGTATTAGAGGGCATCATCTTTATTATGGACTGGTTCTTTTCCTTAATTCCCGGACTTTGCTTGTGACTGTTCCTGACTGGTTTACAAAGTCTCCGAAGAAGATGCAGGTGCCCTTTCTCTCAGCAGAGAAGAGGTTCCTGCCAGGGAACTTATTTGGCTCCGCAGGGACACTATGGAGTCAGCCACTTGGTCCCACAGAAGAGCCTATGCTTCCTATGCCAGTCCCTATCCCTGTGGCTATTTCTGCCCCTGAGTGCAGGTAGCAACACTGCTCGTTTCGTCTGAACCTCAGGCTGAAGGTGAATCTAAGCACAATCTCTTTTTCTTGAAGTGTGAGGCACATACATCGGTACAAACACTTCCCCCAAATGGCATTAGCAACCTTACTGGCAGGCAACCCAACAGATCGAAAGAGGTTAGACCACATTTAAGCTATTAAACTCCGCAGATTCTTCCACTGAAGGTGCCCTGCTCTTACAAATGGGGCCCAAATTAGAGGCAATCAATACCAACAGAACATCCTATTCATAAGAGGAAGGTGAGTGCAAACAGGAACCTTTCGCTGTTTCCCCAGCTTTCTGGGGTAACCTCTGCTGACCCGATAGCAAAGAGTAAGGACAGTCTATCTTATCAGAACGGCAATTCCTCAAGCTTCTGCCGTGCGTAGACCAGCCCGCTTCCGGGGTGTGGCTGGAGCAGGGCTGAAGATCCTAAGACTCTAGGACTCTCCAAAAGGTCACTTTGAGCGGCTTCGTCAGACTTGGGTCAGTCTTCCAAGTTGTGGGGCTCAAGATTGGCCCTCTTGACTCTGGAGCGGTGAACCCATGGGATGGAATCGGACCTGAGGGCAGTAGGGATGGTCAGAATAACGGTATGAGGCCCAGCCCACTGTGGTTTGAGAGGGCCTTTCTTCCAGTCTTTGACCCAGACGGAATCCCCTGATGAGAAAGGGTGTACGGGAGATCCTAAAGAGATTGGGGCCCTCTCTAAGGTATATCATTGTAATTTATTCAGGGTGGCCCCTAACGCTTGAAGTTGCTCTTTTATTCCCGTATCCCCTAATCCCCTACTTAGTGTAGGTTCCCTGGGAGGCTCCCTAGACATGGAGGGGGCCTCCCATATCTTAGTTCAGAGGGGGAGAAACCTGGAGTTCCTGGTGTGCAGTGGACATGCAGGAGGGCTAGGGGCTACAGGCCTGGCCATGGGAGGTCTTGGCTAAGTTTCCCTTGAAGGTGCGATTCATTTGCTCTGCTCTCCCCAAGCTTTGAGGCTGGTAAGTAGTGTGAAGCTTCCAAGGGATGTTGAGGGAGTTGGTTACAGTTTGTGTAAGGTCCGCCACGAATGCAGGTCCATTATCACCGTGGATGGTGGCCGGCAGGCCGAACCGGGGGACCATCTCTCTTAGGAGGCCTTCAGCTACCTCCCGGCTCCGTTCTGTCCTGGCAGGGAAAGCTTCAACCCATCCAGAGGATGTACGGACTATTACCAGGAGGTGTCTAAATCCTCGACTTGGCTGCACATCTGTAAGTTTATTTCCAGATCTTCAGAGGGGGTAGCTCCTACTCTTTGGACACCTGGCAGGCGTCATAGCACGGATCGGCATTATTCCTGGCGCAAGTCGCACACCGTTCGCTTATTGTTCGACACAATGCTGGCAGCTGGCGGATGTAGTTTGCTTTTTTAGGGCCTCTAATGCAGGGTTTCCTAGATGGGGGAGTTGATGGTATTTGCCAACTAGATGCCGCCCAAGGGCCGCTGGGACAAAGATGCGCCCATCTAGCAGTTTCTACCATCCTTCCTTGGTCTGGGTGGCCCTCTCAATTTCAGCCCATTTAATTTAGAGGAACTCAGGCCGTACTGTGTGGCCTCCCAAGTTCATGGGCTTGGCAGAAAGGCTGTTGCATTGCCCGTTTCCCTGTGGCCCTGGGGATGGTAGCGGTCTTCTTGCTAAAGGGGGCCACGGGGGAGGTGGACACAGAATGTTCAGCCCCCATGTCGACCATAAAAGTCATAGTTTGACCCCCAACTTTGATTTTGACCGTGGGCTCATGAGGGCCAAGAAGAAGTGAGCCCGGTCCCCCTCGATCTGAATCTATTCCTGCTAGCCCGATGAGGTCTTTTCACAGGGTTCTTTTATGTATCAGCTGGGGTTCTGGGACTTTCCTCGGTTGGGACATTTATTTCCCAGTGTCCTTTCTCCTTGCAGCAGGCACATCGATCCCTTGCTAAGGGGGTCCTGGGCTTCCCTCCTTTTGCTGGTGGGATCTTCTCCGTCTTTTCGTAGTCCTCCTTTAAAGCAGCAGCGAGAAGGCTGACCTTTTCCTCATCTTTTTCTCGGCTTCCCTCTCAGCAGCGACCTCCCTGTTCACGTAGACCTTGTTCGCAACTGGACACCAGCGTGACGTTCATTCCACCAAAACCCTCAAGTTTTTGGAGATTCCTTCTGGTATCTGGGGCGGCTTGGGCCACCAAAGAGGGGTTTGCCATCTGTTGGTTTTGTTGTGCCTCGGGTTCAAATGGGGTGTAAACCTGGTAAGCCTGGCATAGCCTCTCCTAATAATCCCCAGGGATTCCCCTTGCTGCTGGGTGATTGAGGAGGAGCTCTGGGTCCCATTCATGGGCTTATTAGCACCCGCTCGGATCCCCCGGAGGAGAGCCTCTTGGTACCGGCGGATGTGGACTTGTCCTTCTGAAGTGAAGTCCCACGTAGGACGTCCTTCAGGTGCGGCAGTTCTAGCCCAGGTGCCAGGACCGACAGCCCTGGCTGGTGTGTGTTCCTCAAGGTATTGCCGGGCTCCTCTCCCAACTCTCCGTCTCTCTTCAGTGTTAAAGTGTGGAGCAGCTGTTGGCAGTCTTCCCAAGTTGGTCAGTGGGTCTGGACGAGAGACTCCATTAGGTGTATCATTGCCTGCGGTTTTTCAGAATATGAGAGTGTGTTAGGTATCCAATTGAGGAGATCAGTAGTGGAGAAAGGCTCCCTCCATTTTCATCACGTCTCTCAGGTTCCCCTCCTTCCGGCGCCCCAGCCAGCACACCAGTTTCTCGCAGCAGCATCTGGAGGACACGTGCACCTGGCCGAGGGCGCAGTCTGGCTGCTGGTCTGGGGGAGAGAGGATCTGATCTGTCAAGTCCGAAGGTGGTGGGGAGGCCGAAGGTGGTGGAGTATTGGGAGCTGGGGGATCAGGTGCTGACGGTCTCAGGGGAGCATATGGTGGCAGGGGGTGGGGGTGGGGGGCAAAATTGGTTCTTCCTCCAGATCACCGGTGGGAATTTGCAGAGGTCAGGACCTCTGTATCCTAGCCTATCCCTGTTCATTGCAGATAAATCTCACCCAAACGGGGAGGGTTTGGGCCGTCTCTAACCTGGAGTTGATACACGGGAACTGATCTGGGTAACCTGGGTCTCCAGAAGCGGCGGCCCATTGGGACATCTAAGGTTCCCTCTGAGGGCCATCCTACCCCAGAAGTGGGCCATTCCAACTCACATAGGATCATCTTAATTGCATAGTCTCCCGAAAATCCCTTCTCAAAGTTCTCATAGTTTCAAGAACTATGTGGGTTTGCTCTGTCCCAACCCCATAATGTTCCCATGAGTCAGTGTCACAAAGACAAAGGGGTAGAGGTGCCCCTTCTAATGAGGGGACCAGTCAGATGCCTGTCTGGCTGTGTCCCAAAGGAACTTAGGTGATGCCTAGCTGTAGCAGTCTCAGCTTTGTGACTTAGGATCGGAAACTATTCCAATGCCGCCATAGACTGTATGCCGTTCAC